TTACCCAGTGTTGTATGGTTGTTTAAATGTTTTTTGACTTCCTGAGCTTGCTGATAATATTATTGCTTGTAATTACCCATTTTTTGTTAAAGTCTAAAGAGATAACTTGCCAGATAAATAGATTAAGACTAGAAAAGTTCGTTGTCATAGATATTTGCTCTTTAATGTAAGTCTTTACTTGCTTAAACCAATTGGGTATCCTCCCGGTTGGTATTTTCCATATATTATAGTGAAATTGGATCCAGCTAATAAACTCAGTACTGTTATAGTTGAGGAATTGTTCAATCACGTCTATTGAGTTTATTCTGCTGATAGTATGTTAATTAGAATATTATTAATTGTTTGTTCCTTAAAGGTTATAGGTCTTGGCCATTCTTGAGAAGGAGCTTGGAAAGTGATATTAAGAGAAAAAGCTATGACTATTAGTTTGTAAGTATAAGTATTTTGTTGTTTAACTGGTACTACAGCATTGTGTGTAAGGATGGAGTTGTTGGTTAAAGCACAGGTTTGTAATTGTTGCAACCTGATTTTAAAGGATATATTCATTGACTGTAATTAATTTGAAAGAGATTTAATTTAATTTGTAGCGATTAATTGTGAGATGTCCTTTAGATTATAAATCCAGAGGTTTGTAATTGTTGAGTTCGGCACTCCTTTGGCCAGGGATACCTTTTGCTTAATTACTTAAATATATTTTCTTTCAGTTTGTTGATTGTTGTTTCAGTTAGCAGTGTGTTTTGTAGTTGATATTGTAGTTGGGCTAATATTACGATATTCAGTATGTATATTGTCTGTTTTTCAGTGATATTAGTATATTTTAGTTTATTTAGCTGTTGAGTGAATAATTTGATTATCTCTTTTTGTACTAGCTTATTGTTATTCGTGTGATCAATAAATATTTCCAGAAAGCATAAAGTTTTTTCCTTGGGTAAATTATTAATGTGATGATTCTGGAATATTAAAGGAGATATGTCATCCTTATTGTTGTAAAGGAGTACGAACTTGCTCGGATTAACGGTGATGAAGCTTGCAGTTTCTAATATTTTTTCTAGCTATTCTCTGCTTAATGTTACTCACGTCATATCATCCATGTATGCTAAGACGAGGTTATTCCAGGTGGTAGTTTCACTGGTTTGTGAATATGTTACTGACATCTCATAGCCTTTAAATTCTTTGGTTATTCTAGTAATCAGAGAATCATAGTATATTCTCCATAAAATAGGCGAGATCATTTCTCCTTGGTCTAAGCTGTCATGTACTTTGTATTTTGGAGTTTTCCTTATCTTTGTTATAACACGATTGGTTCAATTAGTTAATAGATTTGTAATAAAGTTGATTATGTCTTGTAGTATTTTTATTCTTTTTAACGCTTTGGCTAACAATAGGATGTGGACTATGTTATAAGCTTTTGAGGTATCCTGAAACAGAATCCATAATTTCTTATTATTTGTATATGCATCTTCCCTGATATGGGTAAGCTAATTGATGAAATTCGTAGTCAAAGTGCTAGGTAGTGCAATATTGTTATTAGGTGATAGAATGTTACTTTGTTTGAAAGCCCGATTCAATCTATTCATAATTATCTTTGTTAGTATCTTCTTTATATACTCAATTAGGATAATAGGTCTTGTTCTATCTAGATTGCCTTCGAGGTATCCACTTTTAGTAATAGGCCAAACTAGCCCTTTTGACCATGCTTGCGGCATGGTTTGGTGTTTTAGACATACATTAAATAAGTTTAGTATATTAGACAAGGCTGACTTCGGGAGATGTTTAAGCATTTCGTTTGAAATTAATAATGGTCCAGTAGCTTTTCTAGTAAGAGATTGCTAAATTGTTTCTTGGAGCTCATTAATAGAGATTTGCTTTGCTAAGTTGCTATAACAGTCATCTATCCGCTGAGTGTATAGTTTGTAATAGGGTTCCATTCGTGCTATAGATTCCAGTTTGTTGTGTTTAGTGCTGTCTACTATTAAAAGTGCTTGGATATTAGTTTTTTTATTTGATTAGTGTCAGTAACCACACCCATTGCGGTTATAATGTTGATAGACTGTATGTGTTGGTGTTGATGTTGTAATATACTATCAATTATTCTTGTAGTGTTGTTTGCGAAATTTTTGTGTCTTTGCATTATATTGTTTTAGATTGTTTGTTTAATTTGCTATTGATTTTCAATGTTCTGTGCTAAATAGATTGCTTTTCTTACTTCTCTAAGTCTTTCAATTGTTTGACCCCAATTATTCACTTTCAGATCTTTGGGGAGAGCAATAATAGTATATTATAAAAACTGTCTATGTTGTTCAGTTTTTGATTTACTATATCACAGAGATTTTGTTGTGACAATAGAGATAGATATAGTAATCGAGTAATTATTTTGTTAATTGTCCTTAAGTGATAGTGTGGCTTTATTGCCTTGTCCAAGTGGAATCAAAAAGTTTTTAAGCAAAGGATCATATAAGGAATATATTTATTATTGATAATCTGTTGCATGTTATTCCACACTTTGTCAATTGTAGCTTGATTTAAGATTTGTATATACATAGACTTTAAAGTCTTTATCTGTATGTTTACAATGTTTTTGAATTCTTCCTATTTATCGAACGTCATTTTGTCGTATAGGTAGATCTTTCTCTTAATCTTTTTTGTTTGTGCTCTTAGAATCTCACAAGGTATAGTCCATCTTGATTGTATTATAGTGTGGTTACTATTTGTTGATGAAAGTGACAATAATATTAGTGGGTGAGTGAAATTTAGAGCTATCTTCTGATTTACCTATATATCGTCAATTTGACTACTTGATGTTTGATTATGCCAGATAGGTTCTTGGATATCGTAGAATACTAATAGGCTTAATAGGTTGGAAGTCATAAAGAATTTGATTAAAGTAGAAGGATTTTTCCTTTGCACATTTGAATTAAAATCTTTCATGATTATGACATTAAAATTGCAGGCTTTTGCCTGCTGAATCTACTGGATTATTTTTTGTTGAGCAGCATTTGTTTGGGTTGAAGTTTGGAATGGTATATAAATACTAATTAATCGTGTTTTGTTATAGTTTGGCAGAAATAGGTCTATCAATAGTGTATATCCTGGAATAGTTTTAATATTGTAAATATATGGTTGAAGTGCTGGCCTTATCACTATTGCTACTCCTTTAACTGATATTCTCGTTGATGCGTTATGTTCATTGCAGTTAGCTATATAAATCTTATACCATGGATTTACTAAACTAGCCAGGTGGGGTGTGTGTGGCTGACAGTTTCATCTCCATCAAAACAATAATATCAGTCTCCATATTATTGCAGTATTGGAGCCATGTTGTATATTTTAGGTTGATGTTAATTCTCTAAACGTTATAGGCCATTATTCCTAGATGAGTATGTAAGTTTTTCTGAAAAATTTTATTATTAGTAGAAGCATTATTAGAGTAATGATGAGAATTTGTTGAAATTGGTTAACCCTTTTGTACCACTCATAATTGTAGATCTGGGCCGTAATTATCGACGATGTCTCAGTCTGGTGTCAATAGGTCAGGTAAGTCATAGATGTAGTTCAGAGGTTGGTTAATATTGAAGTAGGTGCCAATACAATCAAGGGTTGATTCAATGTTTTGATATTTTTTAATGGGAAGTTCTAATTTTAGATTAGAATCCAGTGTTGCCAACTGGTCTTGGAGTTCCTCTAGGTTTGCAGGAAGATTAAGTTTGGCATCAGTATTGTCAATTAAGACTTGTCTATGTGGGATGAATATCTATTTCTCTGGAAGTTGATAGAAGAAGTAATGGTTGTGCAGTTCTTTCACAATTTCAATAAGTTATTTTGAAGTTGTGATCGGTATTGTTAGGTTCATTTCTTTGATCTGGGTTGGGTCAACTGGTAAATTAGCTTTTTTGGTGTAATTTACTTGTATATAGTTACAGGCAAGGTTTTAGATAGTCAATAACCTTCCTGGATTTCTGTGATAAATTGTAGGGCCTTAGTTTTATTGTAAATTGGAAAATCATAGGTTCTTGTAATATGTATCTGGGAGGGTTGTGCAGGAAGTGGCTTTTTATTTATGATGTAGTTACTTGGAAGTCTTTTGAATTTGTAGTAATGCCTGAGTTTTTCAACTAGGCTTTTGAATTCAGTGTCGTTTTTAGGTTTGCATAGAAATAGGAAGCAAACTTCTGATCTAAGTGTCTGTGGAGTTGATGGTAGATCTAATTTTTCAGGAAGTATTTGAAGTAGGCCAGAGGAAGCTTGTTAGGTAATGTGTAATATCGTTAAAGCTTTTATTTGTATTCAGATAAGTATTGAAGCATTGAGTGCTGAGAGATTGGGAAAAGATTAGCAATCTCTGCATTAAGTTGGCTGGAATGGCTTGGTAAAGGTACTTGAACATTAACAAAGTACGAGTTTGGTAAACTTTTGAAGTTGAATATCAGTCTTAAGGCTTGTACTACTTTAGCTATTCTCCTATTATCTTGTATAGGTAAGTTAAATAGAATTATATTTAGTAAGTCCTTGAGCATTTCTGCCAGGTCTTGTGGGAGTTCTAAGTGGTTTTGAGTTTGAGCTTTGCCGATTATTTTTCGTGCTTTTTCGAAGGCTATGTTAGATTCAATGTGGCCAAAATTCATCAGATAAAATATATTCTGGGCATTGACATGGTCATTGTTTAGTGTTAAATTTAGTGTAAGTATACTGTCTATGACAATTTTTTTTTTTAATTTGTCAAGTATTTGTTCCTGATTGGCCTTATTGATGATCAACGTGCTGTGTTTGCGTTTATATTTTTTGATAGCGATGTTCATTAAAGTGTTGAATTCCTTTTGATGGTCCGGTTGAGTGTTTTTATCTTTGGAGAAGGATTTAAAAAAGGCTATGTCCATGTATTTTAGTTTGCTTGCAATAGCCTTTGGTATGTTAATAGATGATACAGCAATTTGAATTTTGTGAGATATAAGTTCTTGGAAGAATACCTCTTCTGTAAGTGCTAGAAGAATTTTGTCATTGTCTCAAGTGGTGTAATCAAAGGCCTGTGTCTTTTTCTTTTCAATTTCATTTGCAATTTCTTCTACCCAGTAGTACCTGGGTTTACCGTTATTGAATCTCAGTTTGTTAGCAGCTGTCTGGCTGTAAGTAAGTTTAATACTTGATTGTTTTTTACTAGTTGATTTCAGCCTATGAAGCAATGTTTCTAGTTGCGTATTTATTGGCTGATTTGGCTCAGAGTCATTAACCTGGTCATGAGAATTGTCGATCTGCATTGTGTCTGGTACCGTAACTAGGACCGTAGAAGTTTTGGTCTGGGTATCTGCCTTTTTGGTTTGTTGTGGTGATAACATCAGATTTGTGTCATTGTTGAAAGAAGTTTCAGGATTTGTTGCTTTGACTTCTATGTTTTCAGCTATTGGGTTGTTAGTTAGAACAGTAGGAGAAATGGTTTGTTTGTTTTGTTGGTCTTGGTGTGAACTATTCATAGTTGGCATAGTTAAAGTGATGGTTTCTGTGGGTACTTTACCACTTTTGAGCCTTTTTAAAGAAGGTTGAGAGTTGTCAGAGTGGTGCTCCTTGCCTCTTTCCAGGGTGTAGGTCTCGTCAGTTGGGTGTTGTTGATATTTTCTTTTGTTGACTGTGGGAGTGGTGTTCTTTTTTGGATTAATTAGAGACAGTTTAATTATAGTTTAGTATAGTATAGACTTTATTTTCCAACAAGTTTTGTTTCTCGGGTTGTTTACTTATAGGTTTTCAAGGGTTCAGGAAAAAAGATTTTTTTATTTATTTGAATTATATTAATATTTGTATAACTAGGAAAACAGATACTGTTAAATGTCCAGAGCTAGAAATTTATCAGCCAAAAATAGAAACAGATGAATTAAATAAATTGATAATCATCTGATCTAAAAATAGATATAGACACGATAATACACAAAATTTGGTCTATCATTTCACCATAGATCGTCCTCCGCTACACTCCGGACAATAAATTTATATAAATCTTACATTTTCGAAATATTTTGAATAAATTTGATATAAATTAATTAAATTTTTTTTAAAAAAATTTAGCAGTCATGTTTAAACTTTATTAGATTTACCACAATTGGCTTTATCACATGCAGACTTCTCACTAAAACACTAGCTTTAGCATCTAATTTCCAAGTTTCAACTAATCCAGTTATCCAATGGGCACCTATGTTTGACTTGCTATAGCTGATATTGTCTACATATCTATCTCTTCTGCAACTAAAGTAAATAGAACTAGAATCGGCTACCTGTTATAACTGCCAATTTTCTTAAGACCTTCCTCTTTTTAATATCTAAGCAAGAGAATTTCATAATCCTTGTCTTAAGAATGACAAGTATACCAAAAAAACTAAACTAAACAAGGAAGTAAAAAAAAGGTAAAAAAAACCACAAAACCTAAGCAAGAACCAAATATACAAAAGAAAAATAAAATGATAAAAAAAAGAGAAAGACAAAAAAAAAAGCAAAAACTATGAAAGCAACAGATATATTAATGCTTGAAAAAACACAAAGTTTCAGTTAAAAAATTATTTAATACTTCATAAAACAATCTCTACTATCACTTTACTTCAGTATTAAAATAGTTCTTATTATAGTATGTGGAAAATATGAAATTTTTTTTATTTATCTATTGATACAAAACCAAATAGTTAACCTTTATTTATATACTACTTGTACATGTCCTTTAACAGTTGTTATATATAGAGCACCTGACTTCCTCATGATTACATCCTAATTCAGTGATGTAAGCAATGTCAATCTTTTAATGGGAGTATACCAAAATTTTCACTTTTTGAAAAAAATTTCAAGAGAAACACCAAAAAATCCAGCAAGAATATGTAGAGTGGTTTTCAGAGTCAAGTACTTCAAATCTTTAAGGAATATTTTTAAAAAAACTTATTTGTTGTTTTCTTTTTCTTTATTGCCTCTTAGTTGCTTCATCAGCAAAAACTGCTTTTTACACCAAGCCTATCAATACCAAAATTTTGTATACAAGGGCACTATCTCTAGCCAGTTATCTTATATATCAATGCTTTTGGCTTGTGTGCCAAATATGTCAAAGGAGTCTCCAGAAAAAGAATATAACCTGGTTGGATCTTTGCAAAAACCGCTTGATAGTCACATTAGCTACTCTAACAATTTTTTGTTTTTTGTTTAGTAGGAAAATTTGATACAAGTGATTGTTGGAGAGAGTGTATATAAATCAATTAAATTACATACAACTCTTTCTGACGATCATCTGGACCATATTTTTCTGAAAAACTTTTTGACTAAAAAACAGTAACGTACTGCAAGAA